CCGCCTCGGCCTCCCCGGCGCGCCGGGCGCGCTCAACACGCCGGTGCCCATGAACCTGTTCGCCACCTGGGAGGTGGACGGCTCCAGCCCTAGCTGTGTGCCCAGGTACGCGCCCGCGCCCTGCGCTTTGTCCGCGCGCACCTGCCCCTCCGGGCCTGCGGCCGCCCGCACCCACACCCCGAGCGCGGCCGGTGGGGCCCGGGTCGGGGCTGCCCGGGTCGGACGGGGACTGCCCGGATCTGGTCGGGTTGGAGCTCCGGGTCGGAGTGCCTGGACTGCCTGGCCCGCGCCCAGCCTCTCCTTGACACCTGCCTCTGGCGCGCGCGGGGTGCCAGCCCCCAGGGACCGCAGTTGCTCTCGCGTCCAGGCACTGTCAAGCTTCGAGGCCTGGAAGTGACCCTCAGGCGCGGTGTCAGAGGACAGCCACAGCCAGCGCAGGACCACGGTTTCCCTTGTCTGGAGGACTCTAGGCCGTCCCTTCGTCCTGCGGCCGGCCCGGATCAGTCCCCACCGTAGTTTTAGTCCTGCCTGGCCCTGTAGAGGCATCTTCTAAACCCCAGTGTTTTTTGCCTGAAGCTGCTGCTTTTGCCATTGCAAAGGCTCATCGCCCTGCCCTGGGTAGGTGGCTGCCCACTCGTCCAATGGAAAGGACCGAGCCCTGGGCAGTCACTGTAGAGTAGACTGGTCCTGCACATCTTGAAACTTTTGTGGTTTATTTCTTGACTTGGTTCCTCTTAGGGAGCTCCCAAGCCGAGGGCGAGAGCGACACTGACCTGCAGGAGGCACGTGGAGGGGGGTGGTAGGCGACCTCCCAGCCAGGACCTCGGTGCAGCGTAGGCTGTGGCCCTGGGGGGCCCAGGAGAGCACATGAGACTCTGGCCTTGAGTTTCCCTGCTGGTGAGCACGTAGCACTCTTATTTCTGAGTGTGCTGTGGGGGATGCAAAGTACACCAGCCAGTGGGTTTGCCCTTCCTCAGCACAGGGCAGGAAAAGGCAGGAGTGTCATTTAGCAGGACTTCCACTCTTAGTGCTGCCCTCAGGAGGACTCATTTTGCTGTTTGGGTCAACATTGCCTGGAAGCCAAACCCAAAAGCATCTCCCAAGCCGCACATGTGGGGACCATGTTGGAGCCTCCTGTCTCTCTCTTTGTATAACCAGCCCTCAGGGCTGCTGGATCTCTTGTGCCAGCCCATCCCCACCTGTGAGGGCCCCAGAGCAGATTCACACCTGGCTGCCTTTGACTGGGATGACTGGGTGAGGACCAGAGACTTTTGAGATGAGGTTTCCTTGTATTTCCCAGACTGGTCTCAAACTCCTGGGCTCCACTAGTCCTGGCTCAGCTTCCCAAATGGCTGGGACTATAGGCATATGCCATGCACCAGGGTACACGTGAAGTCTTTCACGTCAAGGAGGTAGAGGAGTGTGGTCAGGTGCACTGTCAGCTCTGATGTGGAGCTGAGCTGTGTTCTCAAGGGGTCTAGAGAAGAAAGCATGGGGCGGGGCAAGGCAGGTGACAGGCAGGGTGGGAGCCCTGGGCTGGAGGGCACTAGGTGCTGGGGTGGTTGGGGCTCTGCCAGGGCCAAGGAGCGAGGAAGGGCCGACAGGACAGTGGGCCTACTCTGTGGTATGGAGGCTGAGCTCAGGGTGGCAGGGAGTGCACAGCCCAGTTCTGAGCTGCCCTGGCCTGGCCTGCCCTGTGCTTGCATCTCAGGTGTGTATACTTAGACAGTGACAGCCTGCTGCTCATCTAGGGACCTTCTGCCAGTGGCATCATTCTCCCTGTGTGGCCCAGTCTTTAACTCTCTGAGCTGTGTTTGTGGGTTGGTTGGTGATGTGTTCACTGCTGTGTAGTATTCCCTGGGACAACACCACTGAGTCTCTGCTGGTGTCAAGGGATGTTTGGTTTGTTTTCAGTTCCTCTAATTACAAACCTTACATACAGATACCCTGGTCCCTGTCTCCTGCATGCGTAGTGACGGGGCCTTGTGTCGCTGGTTGCTAGGATGTGGGAAGCAGGTGTGTGAAGTTCAGTGTGGCCGTCTAGCTGCTTCCCAGAGAGAGGTTGCCAGCCCTGGCTCCACCAGCAGGGATGAGAGTCCCCACTGCTCCACATTATTGCCAACGTGTGTGACTTAATTCTTTGCCAGTCTGATGGGTGTGAAGAGGTACTGTGGTTTTAACTTAAGTTTCCCTGATTACTAATCTAGGCCGTGTGTATTTCCTTGTCAGTGAGGTTCCTGTTCATTTCTTCTGCCAATTTTTATTTTACCAGCTATGTGTATTGCAGGCACCCTCCTCCAATTTCAGGTGTCTCCACCCTTCCTTCACAGCCCTTTTGTGGCCCCTTGGGTCATCCTGGGGCTTGTGTACCCTCTGTGGTCCCCGGGCTGAGTTCATCTCCGCTGGCTTTGGTGCTGGTTTGGTGTTGGTGCTGGCAGGAGCGTTCTCTGACCCAGGCTCTCTACCAGAGGGAGGGCCCAGTCCTGCTGTCCCTCTAGGTGCCTTTCCATGGTAGCAGCACTACTACCCATGATGGCCCTCTGCGCCTTCTGCTGGGCCTATAGTTGGCACTGCCTTTGCCCTTCCTGGCCCTGTCCTCACACGTCCCCACCCGCTCCTCAGCAACCTTTGCTGTTTTGGACCTGGAACTCCCACCTGATCTTGTCTCTTACTGTGGTTCATGGGTTCCCTTATAAACTCTATTGAGTGCATGTGTGCTGTCTTTACCCCTATGGCCTCCGGGCCAATTTACCCCTGTGGTCTTTACCCCTGTGGTCTTCAGCACCAACCCCGAAGCACGGGTTCGTTCCATTCAGCAGGAGCCCAGAACCTCAGCATGTGGTGTGAGTCATGACAGATGTGTGGCCCTGGAGGCTCAGAGCATGTCGCTGTCAGCTCAGAGAGGTCCTGTGTCCCTCCCAGTCAGCCCTGATGCTGCCATCCTCCTCCACAGGCAGTACCATCCATCTGTCCAGAAGGCCGCAGGTATGCCCTTACTGACCAGCACCAGGCCATGCTGCTTCTGTGAGCTGCTCTTTCTTCCCCATCACTGCATACTGTTCCCTGGTCAGAGAGAGCCCGTCATGTGCACGCCCATGGGTGGAGGTTTGGGTGCTTTCCAGCCTGGGGCATTGTGGTGTGGCCTGCCGTCTGCCTGCTGCTGGATGCTCCTTCGTGTGTGGGGGGTGCAGGGCCAGTCTTCTCTCCTGCCTGCCTCCCTGCCTCCCTTCATCTTTCTTTTGCAGTACTGGCGACTGAACTACACTTTTTAAAAAGTATATTAAAATTTATTTGAAATGTAGTTATAAAGTATAAAGTTAAAATGACGTTTAATTTTAAAAGTTACTTTATGGAACAGCCAATAAGAAGACGTTTATAATGCCTTGATTTTACTAACTTAATTTGAATGTTAAGAAAATTGGATACATTTGTGCATTATAAAGAACATATTGAGGGGTTATGTGCTGGTTTTTCACCCTTTTTATAGTTATTTTTCAGTTTCTTTTGTCTGTGTTCCTGTAGTTTATTTCCACTTTTTCTTTCATTTTGTCGTTCATTTTTACAAGTCACTTTAAAAGCACTGATTGCAGAATTAAAATGTAGTCTGCTTAGGGTTGAAAATCTGAATTTTTTTTCCTGTGGATTTAAAGAGAAAAAATAAAATTTTAAAAGAAGATAATAGAAGGGTAAGAATGGTTAATACATTGCATGTTGTTATCTTTAAATTACTCAGAGTATAAAATATAGGCATTTAGTTGTCCAAACAATATTGGCACAAACCTTACCTTTCAATGAACAAGAGAAATTAGTAGTGTAACTATCTTAACTATCTTGTGTATACACATATGTGTGTGTATATATGTATTTTTTTCTTTGCTTTTCCCTTCCTTCTTTTCTCCTTTCCCCCATCCTGTTTCTCTTTATTTTTGAACAGTCTCTTCCCATCTTGCAACATCCATTTTACATTTTAGATCTTACTTACTCTTTTAGCTTCTCACACTAGGGAAACAATACAATGTTTATACATGTGTGTCTGGTTTATTTCACTTATGTGTATAGTCTTGAGTTGTATCCATTTACCTATAAAAGTCTCCATTTTATCCTTCTTTATGGCTGAGTAGCACTCTACTGTGTACAAAGACTGCATCTTTTTTATCCATTCCTTGGTTGATGGACATTTGGATTATTTGCAAGATCTAGCTATTACAAATTGTGTTGCTATAAACATGAGTGGTATAATGTTTTTAATTCTTCTGGAAAGATACCCAGAAGGGGAATGGCTGGGTCAAATGGCTGGATCCAATCCTAGTTTTTTGAGAAATCTCCATGCTGATTTCTACAGTGGTTGCACCAGTCTACATTCCCACCAACATTGGAGAAGGGTTCGTTTTTTTCCCGAAGCCCCTCCAGTATTTGTTATTGGTTCATTTCTTGATGATAGCCATTCTTTCCTGGGTGAGATGGGATCTTCAGTGTTGTTTTAATTTGCATCTGTTGAATGACCAGTGATGTTGAACATTTTCTCATATATTTATTTGCTGTTTGTGTTTCTTCATCTGAGAAGTGTATATTTATCTCAGATGCCCATTTTTGGATTAGGTCTTTAAATTTGGGAAGTCTGTTTTTTTTTTTTTTTTTTAGTTCTTTATATGTTCTTGATAGTAATCCTTTGTCTGAGGAATAGCCACTTTTTTTTTGAGACAGGATATTATTTGTTACATCGCCAAAATTGTCCGGGCTGTGCTCAAACTTTGATCCTCCTGGTTCAGCCTCCCAAGTGCTGGGATTACAGGCATGCATCTGAGTCTCATTTTAATTGGGTAGTTTTTTGTTTTTTGTGTGATTAGACTGAGTGAGTCCTTTGTGAGATACACAGATTTCAAATGTTTCCTCCTTATGTGTGGTTTACCTCTTCGCTTCTTCATGGTGTTTTGTTTTTTGTTTTTTTTTTTTTTTTTGGAGACAGGGTCTCATAGTCAGGCTGTCCTTAAACTCACTGCGTAGCTCAGGCTGACCTCAAATTTATGGCAATCCTCCTGCCTCAGTCCCCCAGGCCCTGGGATTACAGGCATGTGCCACCATACCACTGTCATTCTTTTTGTTTACTGAGGATTGAACCCAGGGCATCTCTTATGCTAGGCAAACACTACCACTGAGCTACATCTCCAGCAAAACACCCCTCTACTTCCTACCCCCATTTAAATTTTGAGACCCAGGCCTCTTGTTGCCTCAGGCTTATGTAAATTGGACTTGAATTTGGACCCACCTGACTCAGCTTCCTGGGTAGCTGGGAGTAAAAGTGTGAGCGGCCATGCTCAGCTCAGGGTGTGCTTTGTTGAGCAGAGAAGTTTTTAATTTTGGTGAGGTCCAGTGATTCAGTTAGATGTTGTGTCTTTGAAGTTAAGCAATTTCAAGATCACAAAGGTGTCTTGGCTTCTCTGTGTAGGTGTAGTACTCGTTCTAATCGAGTGGCTGTAGCATGAGGTCGGGTTTGTGGTGCCTGTGTAACTTACAGAAGCATCTCCTGTGATTCCACACAGAGCCACACATGGTTTATAAGGGAATTTCTTGACTCAGCTGGTGTGAGAGTGGCACTGTTTCCTCAGGAATATGCCTGTGGTGACAGATCTGTGTAGTGCTCACCTTGTTAGATGACTCCTAAGTGCTTGTTTTAGATGTCACCCATGGAAGTCAGCTTTTGTTGTCTGTTGCTGATACATAGAAATTTGGGTTATTTGTTTTGTTTTGTGTTGGTGCTGGAGGGGAAGCACAGGGCCCTGTGTCATGGCTGCACCACCAGCGCCTGGTCTGGGACCAGAACCACCATTTAGAATTTTTGGTTTTGTTTTTTGGGTCTCACTGTGGTACCCAGAGTGGCCTTAAATTCCAGGCAGGTGCTCCTCCTGCCTCACCCTCCCGGTTGTGCACCACTACACCCACCTTCAGGTAATTTTGGAAGCCACTAACTTGGGTGCTTGTGATAGATTACTTTGCATTTCAAGGGTATATTTTCTCATTGGCAAAAGATGGGCTTGTGTCTGTTACTTTCTTTTCTTGCCTCACCACACTGGCCCTCACTGTGCAGAATGGAATAGAAATATTTGTGTAGATATCCTGTTGTGTTCTGAGCTTCAGGGTTTAGTGCTTCACCACTAAGAATGATATCTGCTGTAACTTTTTGTTTTTATTTTTTATTTTGATACTGGATCTCACTGAATTGCTAAGTTGCCTAGGTTGGGCTTAAACTTGAAATCGTCCTGCCTTGGCCTCCCAGAGTGTCACCATGCGTGGCTCTTGCTGGAACTTTTTTGTAGGTACCATTATGAAGTTAAATCACTTACCAGCCCAATTATTTAAATACAAGATGACCAAATATTGCAAAGTTTAAAAAAATTTTATAAGCTAATATAACAGGAAATGTAAAAGCGACAATTTTATCAAATTTATTCATACAAGAATTGACTGTTTGAAATGATACCTGCCCAGGCTGGGCATGGTGGCGCATGCCTGTAATCCTAGCACTCGGGAGGCTGAGGCAAGAGGATCCTTGTGAGTTGGTGACCAGCGCAGGCTACAAAGTGAGCTCAGCAAGACCCTGTCTCAAAAAAAACAAAACAAAACAAAAAAAAAAAAAAAAAAAAAAAAAAAAAAAAAAAAAAAAAAAAAAAAAAAAAAAGACAAGAAGATTAAAAAAAGAAGAAATGATACCTGCCTAAGCTCAAGATAGTCAGTCTGTAAACAAATGCACTGTCTGAGTGATGCTTGGGGTCACTGTTAAGTGGTTAAAAAAGAGTCCCAGCAGCCCATTTACAGATGACTATGACTTTAAAAGAAAATATTAGGACTGGGGATGTGGTTCAGTAAGAGAGTGCTTGCCTAGTAGTGAAATTTATCGCTACTTCAATTTCTTTTTTATTCTTCCTCTTCTTTTTGTTTTCAGTTTTTCTTTCAGTACTGGGGATTGAATCCAGCGATTCGTGCATGCTAGGCAAGCATTTCCCACTGAGCAACACCCCCAACCCTTTCTAAATTTTTTGAGGCAGAGTCTTGCTAAGTTGCCTAGGTAGCCTCCAACTTGGCAATTCTCTTGCTTCACCCTCTCGAATAGCTGTGATGATAGGTGTGTGCCACTGTGCCTGGCTACTACTTTGGCTTCGTTTGTGGTTGCCCTGAGAACTTTGGTGTGCTTACTTGCTATTGTATTTTGGAGCTAATTATGTCTTTATTCACCTGAGCAGCAGACCTGAGTGCACTTTGTTCTAACCAAGTCTTTGCATGTGCCTAAGTATATTGGGGATGTGTTGTGTTTCAGCTGTCTTCTTAAGGGCCCAAGACACTGTCATTGCTTCAGCTGTCAACTTTCAGTGAACTTTAAACTTACCATTTTGTCTTCATTCTCCTTGCTCTCAGAACCTGGAGTTGTGTTCAGCAAGCTGCCCCTTGGCTTGTCTGTGTTATTTCTGTGCCACTCATTCCCAAAGAGTGTGTGCTGGTGGTATGCAGGACCAGGGCGGCCTCTCCCTCTGAGGTGAGCTGCAGCACCCTGACTTTTGGCTTCCACTCTTGCTGGGGAGAGAAGACAGTCACCTGTGGCTGAAACTCACTGTAAGGGGTCTGGTATGGTGGCTATGTGGTCAACCCCCTGTGTGATGGTCACATCCCTGTATGATGCCCTGGTAGACGGAACGTCCAGATGTAGGTATCCCCTGTGATGCCTGAGCTGGGGTTATTGGACCTTCAACACCGTGGATGGGTTGTTTTGTTTAGTTCTGGGTGGTCCTCAGCTACTGTCCCTTTGGTCATTGCTCTGTCCCCTACTCCCTCATGTGGTCCCTGGAGCACAGGGTGGACTCAATGGTGGCAGCTTTTCCTTCTGGGTGCTTCAGTTTGCAAGTGAGGAGCATGATGTGGAGAGTGGGCCTCTTGGCAGTACCCTTTTGTATCCATGCACGGGCACAGCCCTCTAGGACATGTTGGTCTCTCTTGCTGGTCACCGGGGTCCTGAGTCTGCTTTGGTCAGAGTTGTCCCTAGCCCTGAGGGCCCATCTTTCCTGGCTCCTTGGTGAGCATCTTTGTGATTGAACCCAAGGTATTGTGCAGGGCCTGTGTGTTTTACTTGGAGCTGTGGGGAGGCCTCTGGACCATTGAGGAGGTGATTGGGAGAGTGATGCTCGCTGGAGTACCTCTGTTGGTAGAGCTGGTTGCAGGCTGAAACTGTGTGGAAATGGAGATGGTGGAAGAGGTGCTACAGGATTGAGAATGGGCTGGGGGCAGGGGCACTGCAGACACTTGCAGCCCATGAACTTAGTACCTCCTGGCTAGTCCTGGCAGCAGGATGATGGAGCCTACACCTCAAGCGGCCAAGACACAGAGGAGAGTTGGCCCCTTGCTGTGACCAGGATGGCCCTGTCTACCCTGCTCCCACCCTACCAAACCTCAGACACACGTTGGGCAGGTGTCTGCTGTTAGGACGCAGGCTTGGGAAGCTCATGTGGTCCTGTTCTGTTCTTCCTGAGGGTGTCAGTTGGACACTGCAGCCACATGGGCTGCAGCTCTGTTTGACATCTGTGCTGTGAGCATCCTGGTTTTCCTGGGTGGCTTTTGTGCAGCCTCCACGGCCCACGGTGCCCTGGGCAGGTTCCTCTTGAACTCTGATGACCCGAGGGCTTGGTGGGCCCGGGGAAGCCCCATTTGTGCTCTTTTCTCTTAGCCCAGAGGACATTGAAGGGCAGGGTGTGGGGCACATGACAGTGGGGTCTCTTTGGACTCCATGATGGCCATGTGGAGGTGCAGGGCCACGTTGGACCAAGAGGGAAGGGATGGGGTGGTAGGGTCCTGGGCCACTAGCCCCTCCTGGCCCAGACAGCCAGCACATCTTGGCCTAGGCCTGTGGACTGCACGTGGCTTGCTTCTTGGAGACTAGAGACCTAGGCTGCTGGTCTCCTCAGGGACCCTGCAGCCCTACCACATGGAGTTTTCACAGCAAGTGAGTGTGAGCTACTAGCTGTGCTCAGTGACTGCCTGGGTGGCTATAGTGAGTTGTTCAACAGTGGCACTGGGAAGTGGTCCTAAAAATAGCATGTGAGCCAATTGAGAGGCCAGGTTCCCTTCTGGCTGGAGGCAGGTTGGATATGTTGCATGTTTGCAGACAAAGAAAACTCCACATGGGGGTACAGGATGAGTACCGCACTCCTTGAGAACTGACTTGCCAGTAATCACTCTGCGCTTCTCAGTGACTGTCAGGCCCTGCAGCCCATGTGATGAGGCGGTGCCCAAGAGCTGCTCATGATGGGTGGAAGGGCAGATGCCCAGGAGCCCCAGCTGTGGCTCAGCCATTGTTCAGTCTGGTGGAGTTGGGACCCATGGCCCTGGGCTGAATGGACAGAGCGTGTCCTCTAGGTAGCCTGGAGTGTCTTAAGAAGGCATCCTACTGGGCTACCTGTCCCTGGTGTTTTCTGCTGGAGTCTTGGAGATCTCAATGGTGGAGCCATGGGCAAAGGAGGGGAGCTTTGGCTATGAAGACCTGCTCTGGTCCAGGTGCTTTCGACCTGCATTTCCAGGGGAAGCACATATGTGCTTGCTGTGGCCAGGCTCCTGCCATCTGCCACTTGTTAGGGTCACAGTGGCCTAGATCCTTGTATCCATTTGCCTCTCTCCTGCTATTCCCTTGGCCCAGTAGTTTCTAGACTGGCTCTGGACTTCCCTTGCTAGCCATCCAGTGTTTGCCATGACACGACCTGAGGGTTATCATGCTTTGGAAAGTTAAGTGGGAATGACATCAGAGCCGGCACACTTTCCAGCTCTCCAGCCCTGGCAGGAACACAAGGAGAGTAGCAGTGTGTGAAATACAGCCTTTCCCAATACAGCCTGGGCAAGATGGATCTGAGAAGCAGTCAGGGGCTGCAGTGCTGTTTTGAGGGTTGGGGGCGCAGTGCATCTCAGAGGTGGGATCCATGGTGAACAGTGTGGGCAGGTGAGTGCTGGCCAGGACGGTCCCGTGGTTTGGAGCAAGGACAGATGGCTAAGGCTGTAGTCACTGTGAGGGTGGGGGTGGCAGGGCAGTAGGAGGTATCATCTCTGGGCAGCTCTTCCACCATTTCCTGATCTTGCAGGGCATCCTAGTGGTGGCGCGAGGCCAGGGCAGGTGTCTCCTTTCTGCTGTGGTCCTGTTTGGTTGTACCAAGTGGAGTGGGGGTCAGGGCAGAGGTAGGGCCTGGCCATATTTAGCTGGGGTTGCTAGTGTGCCTAGCTGTCCTGGTCTGGGCTGGGTAGGGGAGAAGGAGTGTTGAGTCACTGGCCCGTGTATCTGGTTGGCCTCACATGCATCTCACTGCGGTTTCTTGAATTGGTGACATGATGTACAGAGATTGGCAGCATAGCCATTATTGGCCCATGCCTCAGTGTGCTGGGGCCACTCTTGGTCTGGACTTCAGCAGCAGAAGTGCTTGTTTTGAGAGCCCAGCCTTCAGAAGGACCAGGTTCTAGGGCAACTCTGCAGGTCATTCCTGAGTTTCCTGGATGTGGGGTGACTCTCTGGCCATGGGACATGCCTGGGTGGGAGGTGTGGAGGACAGTATGACAGGAGTCCCTTCCTGTATCCGTAGGAACCCCCAGGCTGGAGACTGAGGGGTCTGGGTGATCAGCTCTTCCTGAGCATCTGGCTTCCTTGACCCAAGATTGGTGGCCTAGGGGTAATCTCACCTCTGTCTTCACACCTTAGAATTTTGTCTGCTTGGAAACATGGGTCCTCCAGAAAGGGAAGTGACAACCTTGTCACAGCACCTGCTGCCTTCCCAAGGCCTTCTGGGAGTCTGCTAGGCTAAGCCTCTGGTGGGATTTGCAGCAGGGTTCCCAGTGTGGTTCATGGCAGGGCTCCTGACAGCTCTGTGCCTTCCTGGGGAAGATGAGCTGCCCCCCAGGTATCCTGAACAATAGTGTAATTAGGTTTTTCCAGTGGAGCTATTTGTGTTAAAGAGAGAAAGGAAAAACAAGCTGTATTAGACTCACTAAAGAATGAGTTCTTAGTAAATTTCCTTCTTGCATCTTCCAGTTATTTTGCAGGTAGAGAGCATCTTTCAGGTAAACATTGACCTGATCCTGATGTGGACCTGGAGACATACAGGCAGGAGTTCTTAGTAACAGAGTCAGAGCATGATGTTCATTTGATTTGCCCCACCTTGCTGTGGAGTGGTGGGTGGCAGTGGCCCTGGGCCCGGCTGGCTTTGGTTGGCACACAGCATTGTATCTTAAGGAGGCAGTGGGGTACTAAGTGCATGTGTGTGCTTACAGAAGGAAGGGGGAGTGGGGCCTTGGGCAGGAAGAGCTTGGGTATGTAGAGGTTGTTTGGGTAGCGGGCTGTCCTGAATGCAGGTGCCCTGTTCCCCCTGCATAGCCCCATCCCCAACCTCTCTTGGCCTTTCTCCTGTGCACCTGACATGGCACTGCCCTGGAACTAGGGCCAGCCCACTCCTCACCTGCTGCCCCTATTCAGGGACCAGACTGCCTGATAGTTGAGCACAGATGCCCAGCACACGGTGTGGTAGAGGGCAAGGGTCGGGCATCTTGGGTATCACATTGGTGTTCGCTGAGGGACAGGGACATTCTGCTCTCAGTGGTGAGGCTTCAGATCCTGGAACTGCCAGAGGACCTCTCATAAGGGCTTAGTGGGGTCTACACAGCCCCTTTGCTTAGGGTGTGCAGGACAGCAAGGATGACACTAAGGGAAGGCCACAGTGATCCTGTGTCCCTCACAGTTACACACACACCAGTGTGTGAGGGAGAGCCAGGCCCTTCCAGCCAGGCCAGCTGTGTGTGTGCATGCACAGTGAGGGTGCACCTGGGCCTGCAGCATCCTCCACTCATTTCAGGGGAGGGTGGCACCACCTCTGTCCATCCTCCCTGTTACCAGGCTGGGGCTAGCCTCTGCTAAGCAGACAGTGGGCTTGTGGAGACCTGGTGGCTGGAGGGAGCCGGGCCTGGACCCCTGGCTGTGCATGAAGTGCCTAGCGACCCTCCTTGTCTCCAGCAGCTTCCTGGCCCTGAGCAGTGGCTGGCAGGGACACTGAGAAGGCACCTCTGACCTTCTCTCCTCATTAGCACAAAGCACCTGTGTCTAGATAAAGCCTGGACATTGGAGAAAGCTGAGCTCTGCCAGTGAGAGCTGGCAGCCACCCCAGGCCACCGAGGTGCAACTTGGGCTTCAGGCACGTGGCAAGTGCTGAGACATAGGCAGAGTGAGCCCCGCAGCCCCTGCAGCACTGGCTTCCCCTCATCCTCACCGTGCTTGGCCATTGCTGGGACATCATAGGAAGCCTCTGGCAGTTGCTCACTGGGCCGCTGGCCCTATGGACAGCTGGCGGGCATGGGCCTGGGCCTGGATGGGCAGGGCACTGGCAGTGGCATTCCTCTCCCACAGTTGTGGGGACGCCTGGCCAGCTGCCACTGCAGGCCTGGCTCCCACGTAGTAGACATGTGTGGAAGGACAGTGCCTGGACACAAAAGGTCCCTTGGTTTCCCCCCCTGATAAAA